TCATAACAAAGATGGCCACCAGGTTTGTCGGCATAATGAAAATGGCCACCTATCTGTCGGCATAACAAATATGTCTACCTGTTCGTCGGCATAATGAAAATGGCCACCTATCTGTCGGCATAACAAATATGGCTACCTGTTCGTCGGCATAATGAAAATGGCCACTTATCTGTCGGCATAACAAATATGGCTACCTGTTTGTCGGGATAACGAAGATGATTACCTGTTTGTCGGCATAATGAAAATGGCCATGGGGCAGATGTGCATCACAAAGAATGGTTTGTTTACTAAGTAATTTTCTGCTTATTAACGCAGGCAGGTATTTGAGTGACTAATTATGCACTAACAAGTAGGAAGGAAAGGACACATCCGGTGTGTTACGTGAACATTAGCATCAAAATACAAGTGTGACTGGTACGATTCTTAAATCAAGTGAAACCAGACAACAGTATAAAAAAGTTTCGATGCCCAGCATTCAGTATGAAATTCTGATTCAACGATATTTTCATCAAGTGTGAAATACAAAGTGTATAAAGAGTTAAACACCAGCACATGTAAAAGAAACGTTCGAACAAACACACTGTGACTCATACGTGTTTAGTCTCTGTGCAGTACACACACACACACAAATAATAACGATATATATATATATGGAATTTCTGTATTATATATATATATGCTTTATATATATATATTAAGTTTCTGTATTATATACATATATGCTTTATATATATATATATATATTTAGTTTCTGTGCTGTATATATATATATATGCATCTGTATATAATCTAGTTATACTTAATCTATGTTCACGTAACTGATATCATTATTTTTCATTGTTCATGAAAAGCTTCGGTACGCCCATTAACATTATTTTCATGAGCACAAGTAAGCTATTATGTCACAGGCAGGTTTTGATTGTTTCCGGTCACCAAAAAAAATGAGTACTTCCGGTTTTAATCATCATAATGATACAGCAAAGAAATCCGCAAAACGCTTTTTGTTTTTAATTTTTAACTATTAAGGGACCTTTGTATTTTTAGTGTATTATACATACTGTCTAAATATTGGTGATAATTATGTATACATATATATATATATATATATACATACATTTATAGAGCTGTAACGTAACAAGGTTCCCCAGCTTTAGATTCTATGCTAAACTCTACATATCTCATCATTAAATATGGACGTTCACTAATACGTATGAATTGAAATTACGGGAAGCAAATCATTTTCCGATCTAACAACAGAAACATAACGATTTCAATATAAACGATTGTGTTGAGCTCGAAGGTCATGAGGTTTTATGTTTAACAAAATAGATTAAAAGAATGAAACGTTTCATTATAATTTGTATAATAATAACTTGGAAAAACTGAACTGTGGCACAGAAAAGACAAACGTCCTGTTAACAAAAGCACACCATCTCTGATAGAAATATAATTTACTGAATCGAGGGAAGCGATTTTCAAATGGAACAGTACGTGTACAATATACGAATCTCTAGTTTAGTGCTTAAGTTAAAGTACATCTCTGATGTATAAACTGTACTAGATAACTTATGGATGATGCAGTTAAGTTAGCTCGACAATTTTAATGTTTAAGTTAGAGTACATTTCTGATGTATAAACTGTACTAGATAACTTATGGATGATGCAGTTAAGTTAGCTCGACAATTTTAATGTTTAAGTTAGAGTACATTTCTGATGTATAAACTGTACTAGATAACTTATGGATGATGCAGTTAAGT